TTTTTTTTTTCGTGGAAGACTTTTTTTCTTCGAACTCAAGAGAGTATGTCACACCTCCAAAGCTTCTCAATAAGGAGATTAACAGCACTGGAGCTTATTCCCGAGCAATGCTGAATGTTCAACCCAAACAGGGTCTTACCCAGCTTTACCAAGAAAGGCAGGCTCTTACCCGATACCGACGAGCAACCCGCAAGGGACAGTATCTGAATTCCAAGCTGCTTAGCACCAGCCAAAATTCCAATACCATAATCTGTTGTTCCACAATGCGAAATATCCAATTCAGACAGTACAGAACAATTTTTTGCGACTGCCATCAAGCTCACATCAGTTATATTCTTGCAACCTTCGAGATTCAGAACCTCCAAAGTCTCCCCGTGAATCTCAGTAATTTCAGAGACGATACTGTCAGTCAGGTTCACACACCCGTTCAGATTTACTTTCACCATGCCAGCCTTCGACCTTTGAAAAAGCGGGTAAACCCCAGAATCAGTAATTCCCTCGAGGCCCGCGAGAGTCACATGGGTCAGGCTAGGGCACAACTGACCCATCACGGATAACCCGAAATTCCCCACGCCGGGACAGTTACGAACAGTCAACGACCTGAGAGAATTGCAAAATGTAGTTAAAGAGAATCGAATCGGCACGTCTTTGACCCCGAGACAATTGACCAAAGTAAGTGCCTTTAGTTTCCCATTGCAGTTTACAAGCACACCAAAAACACCAAACTGGGTGACCCTGTGAATTTCCTCAAGCTTAAGACTCTCGAGAGACCCAGCAGCCTTGGCAAACGTGACCAAACCATTGTCTGACACGAACGGGCACTTCAAGAGGGCAACCGTCTTCAACTCCGGGCAGCCATGACCAATAGCATCAAGCACCATATCAGAAACTCCCAGGCAAGACGCTACGAACAAATATTTCAGCTTTTGCAGACCTTGGCCCTTGCCCATGACCCAAAAGCCCCTCTCGTTCACGTTTTGGAGGTCGGCAAGCGCCAGATCAGCCAAGGCGGACCCATAATGGCCGACCACAGCAAGAGACACGTCACTTATGTTAAGTGACTGCAAATTCACCTTTGTGAGCACATTACCAGCCGAAGTAAACAAGCCCGCAATACCCTGGTCGCCAACGAGCATACAGTTTTTCAGGGTAATCGATTTTAGATTACGGCAGCTTTGCCCAAGAGCTTTTAAGCTCTCATTCCCAATGTTCGCGCAAGATTCAAGCGTAACAGATGTAAGATTCGGGCAGTTCCTTGCGATTGAAATCAAGCCTTTGTCTGTGATGGACGGGCAATGGCAGAGGTCGAGCTTCTCCAGCGAATGACAGCCAGTTGCAATTGCGGACAGCCCCTCATCGCCGACGGAGGATAAATTCCACAGAGAAAGAACTTTCAAAGAAGGGCATCCACGTGAGATGGCCTTCAGACCAAAATCTGTTAGTCTACTTGTGGACTTATTCCCCCTGATCAAGAGCTTTCCGAGACCACCACGTCCAACTGTCCCCACAGAAATAGCGGCCAATCTCACATCGCTGGCCTTCTTCCCTTCCAGGCACCTCGTGAGAAAGCCGTGCGGGTCAGACTCTAGGCATTCATCATCAAGATTTATGGCTTCTCCTTTTTCCTTGGGTTCAGTTGACTTCTGAGAATCCAATTTGCCATTAGATTCATGTGTTTGAGTGAAATTATAAGGTGTTGTGCAGATTTCGTCCTTGCAGATAGTACTCAAGAGCATGAGCCAACGTTTAGATACGCTGGCACACGCACCCCTCTCTTGGCCTCCTGGAAGGCGCCTGAAAACCTCAAACAGGCACTCGTCGGGAAGAATCTCAATCGATGGAATGCTTTTGGGTTCTTCAGAGACGATAAAGGTTTCACTGACACGAGATCTCTTGCGAGAGGGGAAATACATGTCGACATGCCTCCCGAGAGACAGCAACAGATTAAGTTCCTTGGGTTTTTGATAGAGAACCCCTCCGGTACAAAAACCGTTATCACCTGAAACCAAATATTAAGATTCATTAATAAAGAAAGGCTCGAGTTAAGGAAAAATAAATATATAAATAATTAATGAGACCATTTTGTGGTCAGATAAAGGAACAGATTCCGGATCTATTACAAAACTAGCGAATTGTTTTTACATAGATGCATCACTAAAACTCCGCAGATTGTTCTTTCGTCAGCTAATCAGAATTCAAGTATAATTCATAGGTTGTACCCCACAACGTTTTTTCGACTATCAACAACTCTGACCATATAACTATTTAGATTAACCAACAACCCCATCAAATGCTATAAACTGAAATTTGGTACTTTCATCTCAAGATTTACATTTGCTCATAAATTAGGATCAGATTTCCAGAGAGAAATCTGCTAAGCAAATAATTCAAGACATACTACTAGCACAAACTCTGAACACAACAAACCCAGGTAGACATATAGCAAGCCATGATCCATGAGACAAGCCTATCAGAACACCAATTTATGTGCACGGATCTGCATACGGTTCACGAAAATAACAAGATCCAACAAGAAACACCGGACATAAATCAAAAAAGGCACGAACTTTATCCAACCCATAAGAGTATTTCACTACAGTAATAGACTTGAACCATCTTATCTACAAACAAATACAGCAAAAAGATTCACACCACAAGAATCAAGAATTAGAATTTTTTTTTTCGTCTTGAAAAAGAAATCTAAAAACTTAATAAAAAAAAAAACCACAAATGATCAGAAGGCATACCGTTGAAATCAAGAACCTTAGACATGAGCCGATTATGAAAAGACCAGAGAAATCAACCCCAAACCGCGTCTGCCCAAAAAACCCTCCGGCGAGAGAAAAAACAATCAGATCGGCAAAATTTAAGGCTATCAACAGGGCTTCAAGAAAAACTGAACGCATCAGATAATTG